CGACAGCAACTTGTCTGTTCCCCTTCCCCCAATTCCCCAGCACTGTTCCCATCCCCCCAATTCCCCAATAAAAAATTTTTTAAAAGTTCCTTTTTATGTAGTCGTTCCTTCTTCTCATGGTTTCTGGGATGTGCGTCTTCAGACAAGCATGTGAGCTGTGGTGACTGCCTTCTGCCTGGGAATGGCATGGGCTGTGGCTCCCCCTGAGAAGGAAGCGGGCTGTGCACCAGAACCATGATTCCTGATGAGGAGCCAGCACCGGGACCAAACACCAGCGGAAGTCACTGAGCGCGGTTGGTGGGGCTGACCCTGGGCTCTGAGTTAGTCCCTGAGGAGCGGCTGGGGATGAACTGGCCGCCGGCCAGGAGTGCAGGCTGTCGGGTCCCAGCTAATGCGTCGGACTTTCTGTTTGCAGCCAACTGCGCCAGGGTGATGTGCTAGCAGGACAAGCAGAGCGCTCACCGTCGAGGACGAGATGTGGATTTGGTGTTTGGCGACCGTGTCACTCCCACGGGAAATGGAGGGTGGGCCAGGTCTCTGTGGCCCCTCAGCTGCACAGGCCCGTTGTCCACCGTCTCCACAATTTGCATGTCAGCTGCCGGCCCCTCAGTGAACACAGCACACTCGACTTCCTGCAACTAAAAATTCTGGGAAATCAGACTTTTCAACATGTGTATGTGACACGCTCATCACTGCACACCCCGTGTGGCCCCCTCCCGCCGGGTCTGGCCCATGGTGGCCTGCCCTCCTGGTAGACACTGGACGTGCCCGTGTCCTCACTGTTACAGCATTTGGTGAAGAGCCCTTCCACATTTAAAGGAGTCTTTCATCATAAATTTGCAGTAGTTATGCTGGATCAACTCAAAGGCTGGTAAAATGCGCTACCACATTGTTCCGAGGCCGGCTGTTCTGTCTGTTTCGTCAGACATCGTTGGCTTTAGTCTCTGGAGCTCGGAGGGTGTTGGCCAGACCACGTGCCCTGCTCACTCTTGGATGCGGTCTGTGTCCCAATCATTAAACACCCATGACCTTGGGAGCTAAGGGCCCAGCTGCCCCAGCAGATCCCGGGAACAGACGGGAGGGCACCTCCCCCGGGACCAGGCGCCAAGGGGGGACGTGACAGACTGCACGGGGCTGAGAAGGCTGGAGACCCCACCCACCCCGGGCTTCCCAGGGCGTTTTCAGCCATGCTGGGGGTTTGTGTTGAATAAGTGATGGTTGAATGTTACTTTCTGCGCGTCCTTCCAGGTTCCTTGTCACAAACACAGGCAGATACAAGTAATCCTCCCTTCTGCCCCAGCCGGCATGTACATCTTTGCCCAGAAAATGGCATGGTGCCTGCCCACCCCATCTGTAACCACAGTGGTTGTGAGACCACATCTGTGCAGAGAGAGCACATGTGTTTTCTTTGTAATGAACGTTTTTAGAAGAATTTTAGATTTACAGAGAAGTTATGAAGACGGTAGAGAAAGTGCTTGTCTGCCGGCAGCCCCCTAACCTTAGGGTTGGACCCGTGTTGACGAGGTTGCACGTCTTTCTTCCAGCTGGCCAGGGAGACTCCAGACCAAACCACAAAGGCCCCCCCGTTGAGGGGACCCAGGAGCCAACTGAAAGAGCCTCCACTGCCGAAGCTGAGCAACAGAGTAACAAGTTATCGTGTTGGGCTATAACCGAAAGTACAAAGTATCCGTGAGCTCATGATACAGACAAAGGATTGGGCCAATAAAAACGGGAAGACACAGTCCCTTGCAGAAGGACCCCACTTCCTGCGTGCAGCCCCCCACCTGGAGTGGGACGCCCACTCCGCACATGCGGGCTGCGCAGTGACTTCCTTCTGAAGAGGACGATGTGGAAAGGGGGGGACGGTATCTGTGCAGCGGAGAACCGGACAGATATGCCTCGGCCAGGCGACCAAGATCAACACCAACAGTGACGAGTCGTGCCGACAGCAGGTCCCTGGACAAGAAGGGATGAGGACACTTCACCTCTGCAAACCCATCACCCCACTGTGACTGTGAGAAAAACACAGGCACATCCCAGCGGAGGGACATCCTGCAAACCCCTGGCTGGGCTCCTCCCAGCGTCAAGGTCATGAAAACAACGAAGGTCAGAGGAACCGTCACAGCCAGAATGAGCCCAAGGAGACACAACGACTGAATGTAGGGTAGTCCCTGGATGAGCTCCTGGGACAAAAGGATATTAGGGACAGACGGTAAATCTTTGAGACAGTGTGACTCTAGTGAGCAGTGATGTAGGTGCATTATGGTGACACACACAAGACGTTAGTAATAGAGGAAAACGGGTGTGAGATACGTGGGAACTTTCCGTACTATCTTCACAGCTTTTCTGTCAGTGCAAAACTGGTCATTTTTAAAGCTTATTAAAAAAAGAACACCTCGGGCCGGCCGAGTGGCGCGATGGTTAAGAACTCGCTTGGGATGCCAGAGGGCCCCGGTTCGGATCCCACATATGAGAGCCAGTGACACTGCCCTCTAC